AATTACTTTTTAACATTATACTCAAAGGGTCAGTAAATATCACCCGGGGGCCGGATTTGGCCCGCGGGCCGCCAATTGAATAGCCCTGCTATACACAAACTTAAGCACATCACTGCAGTGCTGCTGTTCCGCTGATCTACCATCAGCGGAACATGTTACCTGACATCTTCATACTGTCTAATTATTATTTCTGTATACATTTTCTTAAACCTAAATATGTTCATAAAGATTTCCACAGTTTAACACCAACTACATAGATGCACATCTGCGTTAAAGTAGTCTGTGCAAACCAAGGCTTAAAGTTACATTTCCTTCTTTGTTGCTCATGCTCTGACTTTAAAACAAAAATATTTTTGTATATTTTTTGTTAGTATTTAGCTTTTTGCATAACTGAAGAAGTCTTTAATTAAATGAATCTTTAAATTTTAACAGCCTTGACTCAATAAAAAGTGTGTTCTCAAGGATGTGTATTATGCAGAATTCTCCCAGCTTTATTTCTCTAGTGTAAATAAAGGTTTCAAATTACTCCTATATGAATGTGGACCCCACATTTGCAGTTACATACAGTAGGTTAACTCAAAATACATTGTCACATTGATACCCATAATCCTCTCTTCCTCCAGGCATCAAACCCTACAAGTGTCTGTTCTGTCAGAAGGCGTTCAGCCGCAGGGCCCACATGCTGGAGCACCAGCAGTCCCACACTGACAACTACCGCTTCAGATGCTCCACCTGCAGCAAAGGCTTCACCCGGCACAGCTACTACAGAGACCACAAGTGTCCCGTGGCGGGTTACGTGCCAGGAAGTGATGGAGGGACGGGAGAGGGGGAGGAGGGCATAGGGATGGAGATGTCGGAGGAGAACGACGGAGAGGATGACGGGGGAGGAAGCACAAACGGGGGAGACGATGGGGAGAAGGATGACAGCTCGGAGGAGGAGCAGGTGGAAACACATGGGGAGGAGGAGGAGGAAGAGGAAGAGGAGGAGGGGGGGACTGACGAGGGGTGTCAGGCTGCAATGACTATCTCCACCATGGAAGGGCAGGAGGAAAGAGAAGAGGAGGATGATGGGATGGAACACGGGGCACTGGAGCAGATTCAGAGCAATGACCAAAACTGTCTGCGGCAGCCATGTTTGTAGTTTTAAACATTATTTTTTTAACATGGACCAAACCAAGCTATTCATGATTTTAAATAAGTCTGAGAATTTGTTTCATTATTTGTTTTAAATTAAAACGTTATTTACACTATACAAACTGCTTTTACTGAACTGTAAAGAAAGGACAGTATGTAACCTGGTAGATCTTTATTTGCCAAAAATAACCAGAGGACCATTGTTTTGTACCTGTGTATAGCAGTTTGTGCAAGTTAAGCCACAGATATATTTTTTTTTAATCCATCAAATAGTAATTTATTTGAATTTGTCTAAGTATCAATGTTCTTGCACTTTGAGTAAAAATACTCCCTGGTACTCGTACCGTTAAACATGATCTGTTTGACGTTCAGTTTGTTTAACTTATGGGTGTATCCACTTTCCTTCAGTCTTTCTTGATGTTCTACTTTAGTTGGGGATATTTTAGATTTCTGAAAAAAGCTGATGGGAGACCATCAGGGGCAGTATTGAAAGGTTAAATTAGTAATGTAGACACTATCAGGCTGTGCTGCTGCTGGAATTCCCCACATGTTGTGAGAAAAATGAAAACATGGTGAAAAACTGTTATTAATCTGACAAAGAAAAAATAGACACAAAATACAACACTTGAGGTCATGGGCGGTTCTAGGTGGGGCCAACAGGGGCCAGTGCCCCTGTAACACGGAGCTTGGACCCCCCTGTGGCCCCCCCCCAAAAGAATAAATCTATGACAATGCAATTCGTGTAAAGTACTAAGTAACTGTGCTGTAACGTGGGCCAAAGTTAAAATAACATTACATTTCATGAATGTTATTTAATCATAAAAGTTGAAAGTAAGTTACTGAAACAAATGTTGTGACTAAAAATAATTTAAATAAATAAGATAAAAACAGAGGTTTGGCTGCTTAAATAATGTATTGTTACCCCAAATGTATTTGTATGTTCTGTATCTTGGGCCAAAGTAATAATTAAAAAAAAGAGACAAACTCTGTTACTAAATCAAACACCAAAAATGTATTTTATGTTTTACTTTATACTAAACTAAACATTTAAAATCTCCTTCCAGCATTAAATGATTGCCCCCCCCCCATTCCCCCAGTCTAGAACTGCCATTGCTTAAGTGTCACCTACTGTATAATGCTATTTTTAGGCAGTAGCATAGGTCTCAGATATATAAAAAAATATAAAAAACATGTCTATGAAGTGTTTTGGTCAGAAAACCAAACAGATCACCCATTCTAGCCATGCCTCATATCCTGTTACAAAAGTGCTGATTCT